CTGGCTAGACCAGAGGATGTACACTGGTGCAGATAGGAACTGGAAACACAGGGAATCCAGGACAGATGAATCCCTCAGGACCAGTGGTGATACTGGGAGGGTGGAGGGAAGGTGGGGTAGAAAGGAGCAACCAATTACAAGGATCTACATGTAACCTCCTCCTCTGGGGGACGGACAGCAGTAAAGTAGGTGAAGGGAGACATCAGGCAGTGTAAGATATGATAAAATAATAATAATTTACTACTTATTACCAAGGGTTCATGACGGAGGGGAAGCGGAAAGGAAGGGGAAAATAATGAGGAGCTGATTCCAAGGGCTCAAGTGGAAAGAAAATATTTTGAGAATGATGATGGCAACAAATGTACAAATGTGCTTGACACAATGGATGTATATATGGATCATGATAAGAGTTGTACGAGCCCCCAGTAAAATGATTTTAAAGAAAAAGAAATAACTTTATACTGTAGCAGTTCTAAATGTGAATGTATCTAATATAGATTCAAATATAAAGAGTTTTGACCCAACTATATAGATAGTATTGCCAAATTTACTCTCAAACCAGGAAAGTTGTATGTCTGAATTATTGAAAATATATGGATGTAAAAATATTAATCCATTTTCACAAAATTTTAGTAAACTGGCTTAACTCCATCCTATGGATGGTTTAACTTGAGCCTGTGGAATATACAACACACAACAAACAGTTTAAAAAAACTGAACATGTGCTTCACTATGAAGTAGAAAGCAACAAATTTCAAACAATCATATCCTACAGCCCCTATTTTCTGACCCACATCCACAGTGCAGTTACCTGAGGAATAAGTAGTCAATATCAATTTTCAAAAAATACTCATGCATTTTAACTAATACGACCAAAATAAGTCTCAATATAAATGTAAGATATTTGCAACTGAACAATGCTGAAGATACCACCAATAAGTATGTGGGGTGCAGGGAAACTAGAGGGAAATATGTGGGTCATAAATGCTTATGTTAGGAAAGTAGAAAAGCTGAAAATGAATGAGGTATCGTTTAACTTTAAATAGAAAAAATAATCCTCAAATAAGCAGAGAATGAGAGAGATAAAAATTAAATTTAGAAAACAAGAGGGAAAAAAAGAATTAAAAAGAGTTATAGGTACAGAGCTTGGATAAAAAGATAAAATTACAAACCTTTCTAAATATGAATATATACATTAAAATTGTTATTTAAATAAAATGAAGAGATCGAAGTCATTGTACACAGTTTTGTGTGTGAGGATATTCTGTGCAAAGGAAAACGTGTGTACACATTCCTTTTCACCTTTTTTTAAAAACTGGTAGCACTTTAGGTGCCCTGGTGGCGATCTGGTTCAATTCTGGCTACTCACTTAAAGCTTGATGGTCTGTGGTTCAAACCCACCAGCTGCTCTGTGGGAGAAAAACGTGGCCTTGGAAACTGTGGGGCAGTTCTCTGTCCTGTAGGGTGCCTGTGAGTGGGGACTGACTCATCAGGCAGTAGGGTTGGGGTGGCAGATTGTGTATACGTAGTTTAGTACTTGGCTTTTTTGTTACGTTGTGGGTGTACTTTTACATCCATTTTATGCATGTACCCCATTGGCGTCAAGTTGGCTTTACTCACCGTAACCCTGCAGGATGGAGTAGAGCTGCTCTCCAGGGTTTCTGAAGCTGAAATCTTTAGAGAAGCAGACAGCCTCATCCTTCTCCTTGGTGTGCTTAGTGCGCTGAACTGCCGACTCTTTAGCTGCTCAGTGAGGAACCAAATACGCTGCTGCTTCTACTTTCTGTTTTGTTTTTAGGTGCCATGTTATATTACATTGGTATACCACAGTTTATTTAACTAATTTCCTCTGATGGAAATTGTTTCAGTTTTTGTTACTATAAGCAGTGCTTCAAAGAAAACTTTGTACATTCAATTTTTAGGAGAAATATCTCCTAAAGAGGCAGAACCACTAAGCAAATGAGTATGCACACAGTTAATTTTAAAAGCAGTTCATACCATACATACCAATCGGACTATCAAGAAGAGAGTCTCTGTGCAGCAATCCGGTGAAAGAACAGTCCAGGTAGAGGAAAGGGCCCCAAGGGTGGAAATGACCTCCACATGTTTCAAGACTAAAAAGAATCACAGTCACTCAACTGCTGTCGTAGATTCCAACTCATAGCAACCCTACAGGACAAGGTAGAACTGCCCTTTCGGTTTCTGAGATTTTTAATCTTTATGAGAGTTGACAACCTCATATTTCTCCTACCGAGCAACCCTTAGGTTAGAACCATTGACCTTATGGTTTAGCAGTTCACTGTGTAGCCTACTATGCCACCAGGGCTCAGGACCAAGTCTTGATAGATGAAGTTGGGGAAGTGAACAGAGGAGTAGACATGAATTGTGAAGGGACTTGTAGGCTAGGTTGAAGAATTGGGATTTTATTTTAACTGTAAAGGGACAGTACTCAAGAGCAGTGCTTGAAAATTCAAGTTGTCAAGAAAAAATTTTTCTCATTTTTCTTTTGCATAAAGAAGAGATAGAAACGATAGTTCTTTAAAAGATTCCTATGTAATTAGGAACTCTTTCTATGCACATATAACTTAAAAAAATCATTGGGGGCTCATCACAATCCATACATACAATC